GCTATTCTGCTGTGTTGTTTAGGGAATAATGACAAGGAAAAAGTCTCCATGTTCAGTACAGATAGAATTTTTTTTTCCCAAATACTTGCGGGCCTTGGCTGAATCCAGAGAACACACAGACAGGGAGGGCCAACTGTACTGGTTCTCGCTGGCCCCTTCCTCAGCTCGGCAGTTTCTTACACAGATTTGCCACCTGGCACCCTGGTGACTTCGGGGGACCTTCGCACATCCCTGGGGTCCCCTCGAGGGCAGTGCTCTGCTCTGTGGGACTCTGCCTTGCAAATCCTGACCCTTTGCTGCTGGGCCTCATGGGGCTCTTCAGCATGGAATCCTATGGGGCTCACCTCAGCTGTTCCCCCCCGTAGAGATGCTGCCCCCAGCCTGCGAAGCCATAATGCCTACATCTCTGCCAAGGCTCTGGACTGCAGGGTAAGCCTGTTACTGTGCCAGTCTCTGCTTCATCTATTCTGCAGTAGTTGCTCAGGAAACACTCAGGTCCACGCACGCAGGTGATTGGCAATGGTTATAAAATTGTTTTAAAATTGTAGTGATCAAAAACTACTTGCACAGGGCCAGAGTTCAATCCCCAGTACCAAGAAAAACAAACCAAAAAAACCTACTTGCACAAATTATAACTGTAGCTTTGCACCACAGTTGGTGCTTAGGGCGGGCACATGGTGTGGACGTGGTTGATTGTGTGTACATAAACCCCCGCCTCCTTTATTTGTATCATGTGGAAGAGGAAATAATATTGTTTTGCTACTCTAAAGCATTCCTAAACTTTCTCACATTTTACTCCAAAAAGCAATTAGTTTATGTGATAAAGGAGATATAGATAAAGCAAGAATAGTGCTGACAGTAAAATCTAAGTGATAGGCCTCACCCTACAGGTTTTTTTGGGGGGGGGGGTGGTTTTGTGGGGTTTTTTTTGTACCGGGGATTGAACTCTGGTCCTTGCGCTTGCGCAGCAGGCGGCAAAACCACTGAGCTAAATCCCCGGCCACCCTACAGTTCTTTCAGTATTTTTATATTGCTATTGTGTTGTTATAGTAAAATACTGAGAATACAGCATTCTGAATCTATAAAAAACTAAACTGGCTGGGCAGGGTGGCACACACCTATAGTCCCAGTGCTGGGGAAGCTGATGCAGAAGAGTCTGAAGTTCAAGACCAGTCTGGACAATTTAGGGAAAACCTGTCTCAGAAAAAAACAAAATTAAATTTTAAAAACTAGCGTTTGGGGGCCAGGGATTTAGCTCAGTGGCACTGCACCTGCCTGGCAAGCACAAGGTCCTGAGTTCGATCCCCAGTGCAGGGGGGAGAAAAAAGCCCTAGCCCTAAATAAGATATACTTTTTTTTTTCAGTACTGGAGCTCGAACTCAGGACCTTGGCGCTTGTCAGGCAGGCACAGCACCACTCAGCTAAATCCCCGGGCCCTTCACTGTTATTTTTAAATGACAGTGATTGAACTGATTATAAATGTTGCGAATTACTTATCCAGTATAGATTTTCTGTTCCTAAACTCAAAAACAAAAGTTTGAAAATAAACTCATATGCATAATTACTCACATTTTCATGCTTATGTGAAGATGGTATTATACATTTAGTTGTAAAGTCATAAAAATTAAGATAGTCATTGTTTGACAAGTAGTAACTAAAATTCTTTTTAAGTATCCTATAAAATTATATATGTTTTGTTTGTATATCATCAACTGTCATTGAAGAATGTATAGGTTGATCACCCCTAATCTGAAACTCCAAAATGCACACAAATCAAACTTTTTGACCATCGACACGATGCCAGAAGTGGAAAATTCTGCACCTGACCTCATGTGGCTGGCTACGGTCAGAATGCAGATACCCTAAAAATATTGCATAAAATTCTTTTGGGTCAGCAGGCTATGGTGGTACACACCTGTAATCCCAGCACTCAGGAGGCTGAGGCAGGAGGATCTAGAGTTCAAAGTTACCCTGGGCTATATGGCAAGACCCTGGCTCAAAAAAACAATTAAAAAAAGAAACAAACAAGCCAGTCCTGGTGATGCAGGCTTATAATTCCATCACTTTGGGAGGCTGAAACAGGGGAATTACAAATTCAAGCCCAGCCTGGGTAACTTGGTGACTTAAGGAGACTTTGTCTCATAATAGAAAATATAGAAAGGCATGGGAATGTAGTTCAATGTGAAGGCCCTAATATCACAGCAGGGGAGGGGGATTCCTTCAGGTTAAAAAGAAAATGCAAATATGGGGCCTGGGATTTAGCTCAGTGGCACCGCGCCTGCCTCACAAGTGCAAGGTCCTGAGTTTGATCCCCAGTACAAAAAAAAAAAGAAAAGAAAAGAAAATGCCAAATTCTTTAAAAAGAATTTTTTTTAAAATGTATCTTCAGGGGCCAGGGATGTAGCTCAGCGGTTTTACTGCCTGCTGCGCAAGCCCAAGGACCTGAGTTCAGTCCTCGGTACCAAAAAAAAAAATGTACCTTCAGGGCTGGGGATTTAGCTCAGTGGTTCCGCTGCCAGCCTCACAAGCACAAGGTCCTTTCTATCCCCAGTACCAAAAAAAGAAATAAAAATTTTTTAGGGCTGGGGATTTGGCTCAGTGGTTCCGCCACCTGCCTCACAAGCACAAGGACCCGAGTTCAATCCCCAGTACCAAAAAAAAAAATAAAAATTTTTTTTAAAAAATCTACCTTCAGGGCCAGGGATTTAGCTCAGTGGTGCCACTGCCTGCCTTGCAAGCGCAAAGTCCCAAGTTTGATCCCTGGTACCTAAAGAAAAACAGAGTGTACCTTCAGACTAGGGGTATAAGGTATACGTGAAACATAAGTGAATTTCCTATTTAAACTTGGATCCCATCCCCAAGCTATCTCATCCTGTTTATGTAAATATTCCAAAGCCCAAAAAATATCCCAAACATTTCTGGTCCATAGCATTTCAGATAGGATACTCAATCTGTATTTGAGTAGATCATAAAAGTAGCAAGCTGCTCAAAATAAGAATTTTCACTGTAGATTTTTTCTTAAATGTCATATCCTGGCATCTGTTTGGAGGGGAAATTGTATTCTTTAAAAAGCACCTCTGGCCATGCAGAAAGTGGCAGTGTAGCTCGGAGAGGCCTGACCTTGCCACCCTGCGTGTTTGCTCAGTGCTCGTTCTGTGAGGGGCTGGGGCAGGGGAGGTGGATGTTCAGCCCAGCTGTCCAGTTAGATGTGAGATAATGTTCCAGAGAAAATGTGCAGCTACATCATGGAAGAGCTTGCAGTTAGGGCCGTAATTAGGACTGTAACACATTGCCTCCAGAGCTGCAGGTTAGATGTTAGATCCAGCGTCTCTCTGCCCTCGGGTGGCTACTGGGTGTGGCAGTTAATAAGGTGACTGAGGGGCTGGGGATTTAGTTCAGTGGTTTCACCGCCTGCTGCGCAAGCACAAGAACCCGAGTTTGATCCCTGGTACCAAAAAAAAAAAAAAGGTGACTGAAGGCTCCCTTCCCAGAGCCTCTGTTGCCCTGGCAGGCATCTGAGGACCTAGGACATAAGTGCCAGGCAGCAGGGCTCCCTTCCCCCTGGTGAATTCCAAATCCTGGTGCCATGACAGCAGAGTAGAACTCGCTGTCCCAGGGGAAGGGGAAGCACCTTGGCTGGGTTCGAGCATCATCGCTGTTGTAAGTGGCCCTGTAAGGTTGTTACAAATGGCAGCTCCTCCATAGCAGGTACTCATGGGACCCATCATCAGGACGTGGGTGCAGCTCCCGGGCTTTGTAGGTTCCACCTGTGGGGGGCCCTTCCTGCCTGTCACAGTGGGTAGTTGCTTAGTGTTGGAGGGAGGTTGCTGCTGTCCACTCTGCACACGTTGTGGTCAAAAATATGGTGAATGTTTAAATTTCAAAAATGTATTACAGTGGAAGACATCGCTGTTAACCCCCTCAAAATACTCTGCCTTTCTTCATTCACACTTATCCCATCATCCCTGCTGCTCTTTGAAGCAGTTCTAGAAGTCACTTCCATGAGTGTCTTCAAGATGTGATCAAAAATGTGGTGAATGCTGCTTCCACATGCCGTCCAGCAGAAAGTCTGGCCTGTAAACACACCACGGTGGGTCCTCATCCGCTGGATTCCTGGGATCTGGCACCATACAACTTCTGGCTCCTCCCCAGAGTTTCATGGCCATGAGAGATAAACGTGTTGAATCAATTCAGGATGTCGAGGCAGCCGTGAGAATGCAACTGCAGACACTCATGAACTAGGACTTCCAGAATTGCTTCAGAAAGTGGCAAGAACAATGGGGTGAGTTTGAATCAAGGGGGAGATTTTGAAGGGGATTAATGTCAATGTGTCTTTTACTGTAATAAAATTTTCTAACTTACATATGCACTGAATTTTTCATTCATACCTTGGATTTTGGTTTTTGTAGCCAATGGTCCAGCTGTGGTGATCAGTCTGTGCCTCGGTTTGTTTTCCAGGTGTAGTATTTGCAAACAAATGACCGCTTTGTATTTTAAAAACTAACGTTTCCACACTCACGGCTGGGCGTGGCAGAGGCAGGGACCTGGCTGGGCATGGCAGGGCTGGTTTGCTGCACTGTGCAGGCCCTCGAGCTGGTGGGACCCTGCCAGCATTTGTTGGCGTCATGGTCTTGGAAAGCTTGACAGTCAAGTACCAAAATGACTTAAGTGGTCAGCTGGGTGGCCACCTGCCCTAGGTGATCTGTTTCCTGCTACAGTTTTGACCTCAGCTCCCTCTGGGACCCACACTGCTTCTGGATTTTGAGAATAAGGACAAGCCACTGTACCACAGAAAGTAGCAAAGTAGCTGTTACCAGAATCACTCAATCATTTTGAAAATGTTCTTGATAGGGCCGGGGATTTAGCTCAGTGGTTCCAGCGCCTGCCTCACAAGCGCAAGGTCCCGAGTTCAATCCCCGGTACCAAAAAAAAAGAAAGTAAAATGTTCTTGATAAATTTTTTTAAAGTCTTGTTTGTAATCATGGACTCTGTGGATTTAGTTTGCAGTTAACATGTTTCGAACATTGCCGCCTTCCTCCAACCCTACGGGAGCAGAATTTGACCCTGAGGAAGACGAGCCAACGTTAGAAGCAGCCTGGCCTCATCTGCAGGTATGGGGCGGGGGCAGAGCTGAGCAAGAGGGCAGGCCCAGTGCAGGGCTCCATCGAGGCCGGCGGGGAGCAAGGTCGTGGCCCAGTCCCCTCTTTTGGCTGCAGCCCAGTGACTGCTGACTTTCAGTAGCACAGAGCTGGCTATGTCAGATATACAAGAGAATATTTGAGCAGAACGAAGTGTGTGTATAATGCACGTGTGTGCATGTCTATGTGTGTGTGGGGGTGTGTTTTATACAAACTTACCCTGATGTGGAGCATTGGTCTGTCTTCAGCACCACTGCCCGGTGCGTGGGTAACCCCTTCAGCCAGCCCCTGAGGACATAGCGCAGCGGCTCCCTGTCCTCAGGGCGGCTTCCACCTGTGCCATTGCACGTCCACCCGAGCCCCTGTGCTGACCTACACCTTTTCCTCACCCTCTTGTGAGGCACAAGGGTCACTGGTAGGAGACAACGGGGCAGGGTGAGCAGAGCAATCCCAGATGTGCAAGGGGGGAGGACTGGGTCACCCCGAAGAAGGCAAGGAAAGAGGTGGGGAGACAGGGCTGGAACCAGGCAGTGCAGCAGCCAGGGAAAGGGAGCCAGACATCCCTGTGGCCTCTGGTTTTTGCACATCCTGACCCATGGGCCGCAGCGTCAGGTCTGTGAGCCTCTGCACCCGTGCACCCCTCTCTGGCCAGGCCCTGGTCCTTGCCCCCTGCTCTGTGCCTCGGTCCTGCAGGACACTTGTGGGGGAGATGGGGGGGGGGGTCTCTGACTGTCGGTCCTGGCCCGGCGTCGGTCACAGCCTGGTTGAGGCAGCTTCGCTCCGTGGGCTGTGAGCAGCAGGGGGAGCATGGCTGACACAGGCCAGGGGAGTCATCTGTCCAGTGCCATTTAGGGATAGTCTGTGGGCCTTACTAAATAAAATATTTGCCATCGCCAGTTATAATTAAGACACATAATTCAGCATTCTGTAGAGATGAGGCTTTTTTAAGCCTAGTATTTTCAGGCAAATAAAGATTCAACTTAGTATATTTTAATCTCCAATTGATAAAATACCACATTATTTGACTCATTGTTGTTTTTTTCCTCCTAGCTTGTTTATGAATTTTTCTTAAGATTTTTAGAGTCTCCCGATTTCCAGCCTAATATAGCAAAGAAGTATATTGATCAGAAGTTTGTGTTGCAGGTAAGTCCAAATAGCAAGGATGGCGGGCCCTAAGCTGCAGAGCACTCGTGTGCATCACTGAGTTTCTCTTTCTTCTTGAAGCTTTTAGAGCTCTTTGACAGCGAGGATCCGAGAGAGAGAGATTTTCTTAAAACCACCCTTCACAGAATCTATGGGAAGTTCCTAGGCCTGAGAGCTTACATCAGGAAACAGATAAATAATATATTTTATAGGTAAGTCCCTTGTGTCGGTGTCTGCCTCTGTGCATGATACTGCTCTCACCACAGTGTCGTCCTTGGGGTCCTTGCCTTGGGTTTAGGACCCTGGAGGGCAGGTTGGCCACCTGCTTGTCATGCACAGGGACCTGGGTTACACTGTGCAGGACCAGGCCAGTGCTCCCTCCCTCTCTTCCCACCCCAGTCCAGCCAGCTCCCCCTCTGCCCCCCATCCTGGCCCCCAGAGCTCGCCAGGGTCCTGCTCACTGCCGTGAAGTGTGATAGAACTGATTCTGTCCGAACAGCCTGTCCCTTCTGCCTGTGTGCTGTCCGGCTCTTCACAGCAGCTCTGTAAGGGAGGGGAAGGTACAGAGGACAGTGACAGCCTTACCTGGGAGATAGGTGAGCTGAGTGAGGGGTGGGGCTGCAGCTCAGCATTGGAGAGGAAACCCTGCTGGAGGCTGGAGGCAGAGAAGGACAGCTGCCCAGTGCAGTGCTGGCCATGGCCGTGACCTCCCACACACACACCACCCCCCTCCTGCCCAGGTTGTGTCTCCCGGCCAGGCACATTCATTCTCATGCTCTGACGTTGCTCCGTCCGTGGACATCACGTGCCTTCCGCTGCCCCTTGGCTGACAGGTGCAGCCTTCCCCGGCCACCTCTGCGCACACCCAGGCTCCCTCACTCTGGGCATTGCTCCGGCACGGCCCTCCTGAGCAGTCCTTTCCCACCTGCTGCCTGTCCCTGAGTGTCCCTTCAGTCAGAGCCTGCCTGATGGGGAAGGCACACCTCCTTCCCCACAAGGACGGCCTCCTGTGTGGTTGTTGGGTCATGCACTGCAGTGGCACAGAGTGAGTGCTTGTGGAGGAAATAGATCATGGGGCTCCTTATTTGTCCCTGGAAAACTTAGCAGATGAGCAATTTATTCTGCAATTTTTGGCTTTGGTCTGGCTAGTCTCTCTAAGATATCGATTGACTCTAGGATGGCCTAAGGAAGTGGCAGATCATGACAGTAATGGTGTCCCTCCGTGAGATAAGTGAGCGAGTTTTGTGTGGTCTAGCTGCAGGCCCAGAACCAGGTTATTTCTGCCAGTGGGCCCCATGGTGCCAGCCACAGCCATGCATAGGCTGGGAGGCCCTTCCTTAGTCACAGTGACTGAGCAGGGGAAGAGAGGGTGGGGAGCCGAGACAGGCTGTGGCAAGTGCAGAGCCACACACCCTGGAGCAGCAACCCTTGCTGAATGCAGCCCCGTCTCTGCCATCCCTTCCAGTCCCATGGGCAGCCCAGTGGCTGGAGTCACTGGGATCTGATCCTGGCCCCTTATCATCACTCCAATAGCACGTTTGGCATTGGAGCCTCTCGTTATGTGTGTGGCTTTCCTTTGAACTCTGTCCAAATTCCCCAGGTCCCGTTTATGTAAAGGAGCCCAGGGCTGAACACAGCCCAACCCCAACTCGCCAGCTATAGTCAGAGAGTGATGTCATTCTCCCAAATGGCATGTGCCTATTTTCTACTCAATGCTAATGTTCCTCCTTTTTAACAAGATCATTACTTGGCTGATGTTCGTATATATCAGAGCATTGTATACATGATTTAAATAGCATTGAACAGGTACAATTTAAATTTCAGCCTTTTAGTCCTAAAATTAAAGCTCTGCCTACAGTGTTTTTGTTTCCCTAACACAAGTGGGTTTTGTTCAGATAGCAGAACCACAAATCTGTGGAACACTACATTAAAGAATTACACATAATTTAGTTCAGTCCACACTAAAGGGTCAGCTAGAGTGTGATATTTTTGTGGGTTTTTTCTTTAAGTATTCTTTTCTACAATTATCTTGCTATGTACAACCCAAAGCTAGCCTATTATTTAGATTCTAATTGGTCTGGGCCTTAAGCATCATTTTCATGTAAGAAAAAAACCAAAGTTCTTGAGAGATGTATTCAGTTCCTCTAAATTCTGTGCACCATAGGGCGAACATTCAGAATCTACAAATCCAGAATCTGAAATCCAAAGCACTCCAAACTTTGAAACTTTGTACTGACATAACCCCCAGGTGGAGAATCCAACACCTGGCTTCATGTGATGTGGCACAGCCAGGAGTGGGACACACCATCAGCCCCAGCCCCTGGGAGGCTGAGCCGGGAGGGTCACTTGAACCCAGAGTCCCAGGCCAACCTGGGCAGCAAAGCAAGACCCTGTCTCAAAAAAGTATTTTTAAATTTTAAAAAAATGTTTCAATCATATTTCCCTTAT